CATGGAAAATGCATTAGCTTACACAGTGCAAAGGTCAGTGTGCGCTTCCTTGATAACAGCAATAGATTTATTAAGTAAATAATACCTCTCTCACTATTTATTATCTCCATTCAATTCTTTCTCAAGTACTCAGCATAAGCTTTATTAATTGCCTAAGAAATCATAAATACTGGCCCTAAGGAACTTCCAGAAGGAGGAGATCAAGTAATTTAAGGTACTAAAGTAAACGTTTTTTTTTCAAGCAAGCATCTTCACTTCAGCTGAAACAAGACCAACAGGCTTCCCTTAACAAATGTGTTTTCAATAAAAAAATCAATACTGAAAATTTTATCTAAAAATGTACAACAACCAACCACATGGTTCAAATTTCTTCTGCATATCAAACCAAAGGAAACTCCAATTTCTAATCTAATTTTGCATCTTTATCTGTTTATAGAAGGAAACCAAAAATACTATTGGAGCCTGGTTTAAAAAAAAAATCAAATTAAGTATTACAAATTTACAGAAATTGCTTTAAATTATCTTAAAAAAAAAAATCCTTAGCTATAAGTGAAAGACCAATTGATACCAAATATTCCTGGGTTATGTTTCAGAACACAAAGGTTTCTTCAAAGCACTTTTTTTCAACAGCGGCTACGTCAGAATATTGATGGTTGAGGATTTGGTTGCTTCTTTAAAAGTCATAGAATCATTGAATAGTTAGGGTTGGAAAGGACATTAGGATTATTTAGTTCAACCCCCCCCCCCGCCATGACCAGGGACACCTCACACTAGACCATGTTGCAGAAGGCCTCTGTCCAACCTGGGCTTGAACACTGACAGGGATGGAGCATTTCCCACTTCTTTGGGTAACCTGTTCCAGTGCCTCACCACCCTCACAGAAAATAACTTCTTCCCCTTGTTTAAGCCCATCACCCCCTGTCATGTCACTACAGTCCCCGATGAAGAATCCCTGTCCAGCACCCTTGTAGGCCCCCTTCAGATACTGGAAGGCTGCCATGAGGTCTCCACGCAGCCTTCTCTTCTCCAGGCTGAACAGCCCCAACTTTCTTAGAAACTCAGAAACTTAGTTTCTTAGTCTTAACCAACTCAAACCATTCATGCATTTAAAAAGCCTAATAAGTCAACAATTCAATGAGAACATAACTGTAAAAAGGATGTTAACTTTGCTTTTAGGAACTAATTTTGTTTGTTATTTTAGTAACATCTTTTTTAAAGTATCAACTGTAAATGCACAAGCTAAAAATAAAAGACAGAATCACAGAAAGCTGTGTAAAATTCAGAAGTATGCAAGTGCCTCATAACTTCAAAAACTGCATTGACCATCAATAATTAATTAAATAACCACACATGCTGGCAGTGTGCCACAATCCACCTCTTCAGGAAACACCAGAAGAATGTATGACCACGACATGGTTGGTCCCCGAGTTACCTGAAGAGTACATTGTGAGCTATACTTATTAATTCGTAACAGGAGATCTACTTACTTATGAAGTTTTGAAAAGGGGATGGAAATAGCTCAGATGTTCCTCCTGCTCAAAAAAATCTGCATTAACATTTCACCATTTCTTAAGGAGGAGGTCTCATTTGATCATTTTGTTCATTGTCTTTTGGTTACATTTAAAGTTTTCAATGAATGGTTTTATGAACCACCTCTTCACATCCTCACACATGAAAGACTGAAGTCTTTTCTACCAGTTATACTCTCTATATCAAAACTATACAAGTCCCTAGTATTCATCCATACTTTTAAGATAATAGTAACAACTTCAACTGAGCTTGATCTAATAAAAAGGAATTGCATGGCTATGTCTGGTAGATGTTCGATTGAATGGAGCATCCAACCTTCTGGTTACTGCAAGATGTAGCTTCTCAAATATTCAGCTGCAAATAATTATATGTACATACATTCGTACAATCAAAATGTATAAATCCCAGCTAGGGTGACAGGTATGGCATGATCTCTGGCTTCACGATCAGCACGTTCCCTCAGTCACATGGCCATGTATCCACAGTGGATAAGTACACAGTCCTGCTGCCTGGTGAGACTGTAGGGTGGTCACAATTGAGGCAGATAAGGGCAGGATACAGGCTGCAATTCACCCAGCTCACTACCCTGAGTCTCCGCTTATGACTGATGGGCCTCAAGAATGGTAAGAGATAGAAACAACAAGCACAACCACATTATTACAGGAGACAGAAGAAGAAAATAATAGGAGACTTAAAATAGTGGAAAATATGCCAGTTAAAATGCATGAAATGGAAATTGTTTCCAGAAATGGAGAGTGAAAGAGTTAACTACCATATTGCAGTGACCCTCCAGGTTCTTTCTGTATATTAGAGTCAATATCCAATGAGTATTTTCATCACAACTTCTAACACAAGTTCAAGAACTGGTGAACTTGATCACAAATTAAACTAAAGTTCATTTAAAAACAAAAACTCCACTAATTTTTCTTAGAAACTAGATAGAGGGAACAGTCTGCTCCGTGTAGGTCAATGCAAGACTGCTCGTTACAGCACTGCTTTCGGAACAAAGCATCCAATTTAATTTTAGCATATCTGACTAATGCAATTTTTGGTATTTGACAGGAAACAGTTCCAGGAAAAAGATTTCATTACTCTAAGTAACACTGACAACCCATTTTTCTTCAGTTCATTATATTATCACCTTGCTTCTTTGACCTCATTTCACCCCAATTTAACAAAGCCATTAAGAGTAGTTTTGTTTTTCTCATAAACCATCCCATCAACCCTTTGATTCTTTGACACCTTCTTCTTAATTCCCTCGATTTTGTCAACATCTTTTCATAAGACTTATCTTAAACTGTCTGCAAGTCGAAGAAATGTAAATGTACTTCAGGACAGAGAGGCATATTATAAAATAAGGAAAAAACACTTCTTTTTCCCACCAAGAAAGGTCCATAGAATATTTCTACACACAGCTGGAACTGACCTTCATTCATTACTATCTCAAACTCAGATCTTATGTATTTTCATATTTCTTTAAATACCATCAGTTTTTAGGTTCCTCAGACAAATTTGGTTTTTAGTTTAAGCTGCATAGCTGCACAGTATCTAATATTTTTTGGACAAAACTCAATGTAATGCTTTTCCTACTGATTTTTACTTTGGGAGGCTGGATGCTGAATGAAGGTTGATACTATCCTGTTCAACATCTTTCTCAGCGACATGGACAGTGGGATTGAGTGCACCCTCAGCAAGTTTGCCAACAATACAAAGCTAAATGGTTTGGTTGATACCCTGGAGGGAAGGAATGCCATTCAGAGGGGCCTTGACAAGCTTGAGAGGTGGACAATGCCAACCTCATGAAGTTCAACAAAGCCAAGTTCAGGGTCCTACACCTGGGTCGGAGCAATCCCAGGCACAGCTACAGGTTGGGCAGAGAAGAGATTCAGAGCAGCCCTGCAGAGAAGAACTTGGGGGTCTTAGTTGATGAGAAACTTAACATGAGCCGGCTGCAGTGTGCGCTTGCAGCCCAGAAAGCCAACCGATCCTGGGCTGCATCAAAAGGAGCATGACCAGCAGGTCAAAGGAGGTGATCCTATCCCTATGCTCTTGTGAGACCTCACTTGGGAGTATTGCGTGCAGTTCTGGTGTCCTCAACATAAAAAGGGCATGGAACTGTTGGAACATGTCCAGAGAAGGGCCACGAGGATGATCAGGGGACTGGAGCACCTCCTGTATGAAGATAGGCTGAGAAAGTTGGGGCTGTTCAGCCTGGAGAAGAGAAGGCTGCGTGGAGACCTCATAGCAGCCTCCCAGTATCTGAAGGGGGCCTATAGGGATGCTGGGGAGGGACTCTTCATTAGGGACTGTAGTGATATGACAAGGGGTAATGGGCTCAAACTCAAATAGGGTAAGTTCAGGTTATATATAAGGAAGAAGTTCTTTACTGTGAGGGTGGTGAGGCACTGGAATGGGTTGCCCAGAGAAGTGCTAAATGCTCCAGCCCTGGCAATGTTCAAGGCCAGGTTGGACAGAGCCTTTCAAGACATGGTTTAATGCGAGGTGTCCCTGCCCATGGCAGGGGGGTTGGAACTTGATGATCTTAACGTCCTTTCCAATGCTAACTATTCTATGTTTCTATGATTCTGTCTATCTCTGCTGGTATTTTCTCAACAGATTCCTGTCCTTAGAAATTATATATTAGTTCTTCACAGGAATAAATTTTGAGTTCTAAAAATTATTTATTAAATCATGCCAAATATGGTTAAACATTACTTTTTTACATGTCAAATCAAACAAAATTTAGACTTTGTGTGTACACAAGACTCAAAATACATCTCAAAATTAACTATGTAATAAGCCATCATAGTATTATAAACATTAAATATCATAAAAACTGCAACACACAGCCACTTACTTCTATAATATTTTCCAAACAGTGTTAAGTATTTAAAAATTTAACTGTCCACATATTTAAACAACTATCTACCTTGTGCTGGAACAAACCAAAGCGTAGGTGGTGAATCTTCCAGCTGAACTGAGCAAAAACATGAGTATACAGACAAGTGAAAAGAAGCCAAAATAACTTCCCTCCAAAGGCAGAAACTCATTTAAGCATATGAAAAAAAAAAAAGAAAAGAAAAAGAAAGAACATAATCATTAGGGAAATGGATTTATCTCCTGTTCTGAAAGGATATAATAAACAACAGACACAGCTACAGTGTGGGCCATGTCCAGAAACTGTGTGAGGTCTCTTGGACCACACACTCCCTACAGAAAATAACACATAGTAATGACGAAGTAATTAACCCACTCAGGGCAACACTCCGATCACTTACATAGGGCTAGAAAAGTAGAGAGAGATATTGACCAAATAATTACTAGCACCTCAAGAACTACTACCATTGCCAGACTGAACACCAAGCATCCCAGTGGCATTTAAGGATTGAGGATTCAGGCCCCTGCACAGGCTTGCACTCCAAAGTAATTCCAACATGACCAAAGAAACATGTTAATTTTAGACATAAGTCTTCTATTGATTGCTTCATTTATTTTTTTTAAACTTCAAGATACAAAAGCCTCCAGAACTGCAGAGCTCCCTGAACCATGGTCAGCAATCACAGATCTGGTTATGAATCATCTTGTGCCAGCCTTCAAGTTACAAACACCCAAACCTCCATGCAAAAGGAAAAGGAAAACCAACTACTTCCTGATCACATTACATTACAATAGAAGGAATATTAATTTTTTTCATTCAAAAGTTGCTTCTTCTCCAGCTGGCTGACAGGTAAAGAATGTCTGCCCTTTTTAGAAACCAAATGCACCCTATCTTCAAAATAAAATAGATTAAATCAGAGCAATTCAAAAACTTGGCTCTCAGCAGCTCTATAATCCAGGGGGGAAGAACCAACTACTGAATCATTTATTCCACTGTGAGAAGTGCAAACTTCGTACAAAAAAAAGGTTAAAAAAAAAGAAAAAAAAAGAGATGAAGCTTCTGCTGCATAGACAGGTCTAGGCTGACTACAGCCATATATAGTAATTTTCCCCTTTAAATCTTTATCTTGGTCAAATGAAGACACACACACCAAAAAAAAAGTATGCATGGTAAAATTAAGATTTAAAGCTTAAAATGTGCATCAGCATCTATTCACTAAGGACAATGCTGAGCAGCAATTTTCATTCCTCTTTTGGTTCATAAACAGAGGTATTACATCATTCCTCAACCATTACTGGAGTAATAGCATGCGCATGTTACAGAAAAAACACCCACGACATTTAATTTGAATTACCTAAATCCAGAGCTACTAGGACATGTAACTCATCCAAGATCAAATAATTCAGAATGATATGCAAAACCAGAACAGCAGCGTGCAGCAAAAAGACTTTAGGAAGTTGCCAGTTGCACACAGCAGACAGAACTGGTAGGTGAACATATTTATTATTTTTTAAACAAGACCAGCAGACAGACTATTTCTATCATCTGGTAATGAGATAAACACAGATTAAGAAGTATGCTTTTTGCTTCTCACAATCAAAATCAAGATGTCCATGGCGATCCAAAGACAACAGAGCACTCCTCCCCTGAGCCCAGATTTTGGAACCTGTTGAACTCCTCCACCGTCACTTAGACTTTCTGCCTGGTCCTCTCTTTATGAGGACAATGGCCTGCACACAGGACTCTTCTGGACATCTGTGAATATGAAGCTAATACTTATTTGTTACTATTTCATGTAAGGTTTTTAGCTATTTTTACCAAATACAGTCCTTGAGGAAAAACAAACACTTGACCGTACCTGCTTCCTCTCTGAATAAGGAGATACACAATGATGTTTTGAGCTTCTCAGGCTTTGCAGAAAACCATGGGAAACTAAGGTTAAAAACAAAACACTGTTTTTCATTCTATGAGTCCATGATTCTAAAAAAGAAATGGGAAATAAGCTTTATAAATTTTGAGAATTTATATTTTTGAGATTGAGGTGAGGAACATAACAGTCTAAGCCCACAAATACCAAGCATCGGTTAGTTTTGTTTCCCCCTAGACTGCAAACTGCTTCATCATACAATGGGACTGTAACTGCCCATTCTTCATTTATCAGACCAACATCTTCCTGAAATGAGCCATAATGTCTGATTTTAGAGGTAATATGGAGTATATTACACGTGTTTGCAAAGACAGCTACACGTATACGGCTCCCCTCAGCTGACGAATGATGACTTGGCCCAGATGGACAGAAACAGGTCTGATGCACTGGATTTCAATTAACCAATGTCTATATATAACCTTTCTCAATATCAGACACAGAAAACCACAACTGAGTAATGACAGCATTGATTTTCATCAGTATTTGTCTTTGTTCAGTCTTTCTAATAAAGGAAAGCACACTGGAAAGAGACGTTATTTGTTTTCCAAATTATCTGGCTTGTTTGATGCAAACCTGAACTCTTAATTATCATTGAAAAAAAAATGTAGTCAATAAAATGATGCTACTTAGTCACAAGCAAGCATGAATGGAAGTGAAGCAATAAACATCAGTGCCTACAAATACAGACTATCCCTTAGCAGAGAACTCTATGACCACAGATGAGGATTTGGAAGGAAAAACTTCAAAGGGAAGATTTTTTAATTGGTTATTAAATTAATTAAATTAATCTTTAAGACAATGCTACAACTTTATCATTTGAGACAATTTCTGACATCTTTAGAAATCATATAATATAGAATGAAGCATAAAATGTCTGGCAACTTGACATATATGTGTTATTATTTATAGTAGTATAAGAATTAAAATTTTTACCATGATTATTGCAGGAGGCAAGGATGCTAGTAAAGGCTTCTTTGAATTCCAAAAGAAGTCTTTAACAGTTTTCTCCTAAACAGTATGGTCTGATTACATTAAAAGTCAGAAGAATAATCACTCTCTTAGATACTACATCTTAGCCCATGATCAATCTAAAAACTGATTAATAGCTAGATTCAAAGTCATTTTTCTTTTCATAGAATCATAGAATCGTTAGGGTTGGAGAGGACCTTAAGATCATCAAGTTCCAACCCCCCTGCCGTGGGCAGGGACGCCTCACACTAAATCATGCCACCCACGGCCTCGTCCAACCTTGTCCTGAACACTGCCAGGGATGGAGCATTCACAACCTCCCTGGGCAACCCATTCCAGTGCCTCACCACCCTGAGAGGAAAAAATTTCCTACTTATATCCAATCTAAACTTCCCCTATTTAAGTTTTAACCCGTTACCCCTTGTCCTGTCACTACAGTCCCTAATGAAGAGTCCCTCCCCAGCATCCCTATAGGCCCCCTTCAGATACTGGAAGGCTGCTATGAGGTCTCCACACAGCCTTCTCTTCTCCAGGCTCAACAGCCCCAACTTTCTCAGCCTATCTTCATACAGGAAGTGCTCCAGTTCCCTGATCATCCTCGTGGCCCTTCTCTGGACTTGTTCCAACAGTTCCATGCCCTTTTTATGTTGAGGACACCAGAACTGCACACAATACTCCCAAGTGAGGTCTCACAAGAGCATAGGGATAGGATCACCTCCTTTGACCTGCTGGTCATGCTCCTTTTGATGCAGCCCAGGATACGGTTGGCTTTCTGGGCTGCAAGCGCACACAGCTGGCTCAGGTTCATTTTCTCATTGACCAACACCCCCAAGTTCTTCTCTGCAGGGCTGCTCTGAATCTCTTCTCTGCCCAACCTGTAGCTGTGCCTGGGATTGCCCCGACCCAGGTGTAGGACCTTGCTCTTGGCATGGTTAAACTTCATGAGGCTGGCATCAGCCCACCTCACAAGCGTGTCGAGGTCCCTCTGGATGGCATTCCTTCCCTCCAGCGTATCAACCGAACCACACAGCTTGGTGTCATTGGCAAACTTGCTGAGGGTGCACTCAATCCCACTGTCCATGTCACCGACAAAGATGTTGAACAAGACCAGTCCCAACACCAATCCCTGAGGGACACCACTCGTTACTGGTCTTCAGCCGGACATTGAGCCATTGACCACAACTCTTTGTGTGCGGCCATCCAGCCAGTTCTTTATCCACCGAGTGGTCCACCTATCAAATTGATGTCTCCAATTCAGAGACAAGGATGTTGTGTGGGACAGTGTTGAATGCTTTACACAAGTCCAGGTAGATGACATCAGCTGCTCTACCCTTGTCTATCAGTTCCATAGCCCCATCATAGAAGGCCACCAAATTGGTCAGGCAGGATTTCCCCTTAGTGAAGCCATGCTGGCTGTCACCAAGCACCTTGTTGTTTTTCATGTGCCTTAGCATGCCTTCCAGGAGAATCTGCTCCAAGATTCTGCCAGGCACAGAGGTGAGACTGACTGGTCTGTAATTCCCCGGGTCATCCATTTTCCCCTTCTTGAAAATGGGGGTTATATTTCCCTTCTTCCAGTCATTGGGAACTTCACCTGACTGCCATGATCTTTCAAATACGATAGCCAGCGGCTTAGCAACTTCATTTGCAGCTCCTTCAGGACCCGTGGATGGATTTCATCAGGTCCCATGGACTTGTGCATGTTCAGGTTTTTAATATGGTCTCGAATCAGATGCTCTCCTACAGGGGGCCCAAGGTCTTCATTCTCACAGTCCCTGCGTTTCTGCCTTCCAAGACTTGGGTGGTGCAGTCAGAGCCTTTGGCAGTGAAGACCGAGGCAAAGAAGTCATTAAGAACCTCAGCCTTCTCCAAATCCTGTGTAGCTAGTTCTCCCAAGAGCTTCCTGAGGGGGCCTACATTCTCCCTAGTCTGTTTTTTATTCGCTATGTACCTGTAGAATCCCTTCCTGTTATCCTTAACATCCCTAGCCAAATTTAATTCTAACTGGGCCTTAGCTTTCCTAACCTGGTCCCTAGCTTCCAGGGCAACATCCCTGTATTCTTCCCAAGCTGCCTGTCCTTGCTTCCACTTATTATAAGTCTCTTCTTTCATTTGAATTTTCCTCAGCAGCTCCTTACCCATCCAAGGAGGTCTCCTGGCCCTCCTGCTTCACTTCCTTCTGGTTGGGATGCAACGCTCCTGAGCTTGTAGCAAGTGATCCTTGAATATCAACCAACAGTCTTGGTTGATATATCCCACGGAACCTTACTAAGCAGGCTCTTGAAGAGGCCAAAGTCTGCTCTTTTGAAGTCCAGGGCAGTGAGCTTGCTGCACGCTCTTCTCACTGTCCTGAGGATCTCAAATTCGAGCATCTCGTGATTGCTGCATCCAAGGCTGACCTGGAGCGTCATATTTCCAACGAGCCCTTCCCTTTTGGTGAGCACCAGGTCAAGCATGGCACCTCTCCTTGTCAGCTCCTCTATTACCTGCAGAAGGAAGTTGTCTTCTACACAATGGAGGAACCTCCTGGATTGCTTGTGCCAGACCGCACCGTCCCTCCAACAGATGTCAGGGTGGTTGAAGTCACCCATGAGAACAAGGGCCTGTGAGCGTGAGGCTTTTCTTATCTGTCTATAGAGTGCTTCACCCACAGAGTCCTCTTGGTCAGGCGGTCTGTAACAGATCCCCACAGTAATGTCTCCCACCACTGTTTTCCCTTTAACCCTGACCCACAAACTCTCTGTTAACTGGTCACCTGTCCCCAAACAGAGTTCCATACTCTCCAGCCTATCCCTAACATAAAGGGCAACTTCCCCTCCCCGCCTGCGGGGCCTGTCTTTTCTAAGAAGCCCGTAATCTTCCATTCCAACACTCCAGTCATAGGAGCCATATTTTTGGAATATAAATCAATAGCAAAAGGCTAAACAGAGAAAAAAAAAACACATTTAAAGGATTTTCTTTGAACTGTTTTCACAGCTTGTATCTAAAGCATGAACCCTTGAGTGTATTCCCTGGTTGCCTAGCAAAGAATTTTTCATTGTTCTTCAACTTAAAGGAAGACTGTTAGGTATCTAAACAGTAGGTTCATGCTTACCTGACATACTTCTCTGTATAATCAGTTAATGACATAGCTGAACCTTCTCCTGTCCATACAGGAGAGGTGATTTTGTCCAACAGAATAGCTGGACAGCTTCCCTGTCTAAACACAGAACTTACCTTCCTTAATCAATTCCAAAATTCCCAACTGTGATGTTGTTGACTATGATTAATTGTATTTGGCATAGCTTTAATAAACCTTCAGAGAAGAGAATTCTGTTTTTTACATGCAAATGCATCATCAGTTCAAATATTTGCAGGCATCAGATGATGATATTTGAACATGAGAATACTTTCAGGTTTTCCTACAGTTTATTCTTAAGGTAGTCACAAAACAACTCTACTGTAGTAACATCAATTAACGTTCACTCAATGTGTAGAGATCAAAGTAGCTACTGTACACAAACACACCAAAAAGAACAAAACAGCACTCAGTTATTTACAACAAACTTCAATAGTCTCACCTACACAAACCCAAATGTTGCCTTTCTTTCACCAGCTCCAAAGCCACATAATTCAATGATGACCACTTTGGTATGTGAAGTAAACTGCAAAGCGTTTCAGTCTGATCAACCTATTTTCAGCAACAGACATGGGAACTGACTACAAAGGCTCAGGAAGGAGCTTCCTAAAACCTATGTAATCATTGCTTCTTTAACCCAGCCTCTATTACAGCAGCACAGGATAACCCGGGAACTCTACCACATGGGACAGTCTAATACCTGGTACTAAAAACTCTCTGTGGCAGTATAATCACTGCACAGGCTTTCTACCTCCAGCCAAAGTTACTTTCCCTCATGCGTCAGACCACAGAGAAAAGGAGGATAAAATTGTTTATTTGGTATTACAAGAACAGAGGAAACACTTAGGTGGTAAGACATGAAGAAGCCTGTAGACACAGTCTAGTGGGAAAGGCACTGCTCATTTAGCCACTACAGTCACTTTGGAAAACGCAGTAAACGCATGTTAAATACATTAATACATGAGAGAAAAGTAAAGAATGCATGTGTAACACATGGCTGTGCCTTCAATAGTGCCAGATTACCATCTGGTACATTACCATCTGGTATGATCACCATGCAATACAAATTTACTCCCTGAGCAGGTGCAGACACAATCACATTTCTGTCAAATCTGCCAGAGTGCAGGATGTTGCATTCTTGCTGACTTCATGCCAGCTGAAGGAGACAAACAATACCTGATCTGGCATTATGACAGTCACAGAGAGATGAACAATACCTGACAGAGCAGAAAATCTACTAGTACAAGGTTAACGTTAAAATTGAGGATGACAAGGTATGTTTACATGAGATGTTTGCATTGTATGGTTATGGGGTTCTGACCTGCTGGCGAGTGTGTTAAAGACATACCATTGACTCAGCACTCTAAATCAATCCATTAAAGCAGCGTCTGTAGAACAAAAAGTAACACAGCATCCTCCTCCCTCTATACTGCTCTGTCCCTGTCAGACCTCTAAGAGCTTTCAGTCTTTTATCTAACTGCAGGGAATCTCACATACTCTGTGTTCATGTCAGC